TTTCATCAAAGAATTAATCCACGTCTTCATTTCTGAAAGAACTGGATCTCAGCAAAGATTCGAGAACCTTCGGGTACTTCAAACACAATTGTTACTGACATATGATAATTCCTTTTACAGATTAAATCTATCAAACAATGTGGTGGATCATCATTTCCAATGGAAGGGTTCATAATGAAAAGAACTCACCCAAAGAGGGGAAGAAGTTCATAATGAGAAGAACTTGTTCGACATTTTGATCAAGTCCATCACAGAAGGAGGTGGATCGACATTTCCAATGGAAGAGTTCATGATGAGAAGAACTCATCCAAAGAGAGAGAGAATAAGTTCATAATGAGAATAACTTGTTCGACCTTTTGATCAAGTCCATCACATAAGGAGGTGGATCAACATTTCCAATGGAATAGTTTATAATGAAAAGAACTCGTCCAAAGAGGGAGAAGAAGTTCATAATGAGAAGAATTTCTTCGACCTTTTGCTCAAATTCATCATAGAAGGAGGTGAGTCAGCACTTTCAATAGGGTTCACAATGAAAGGAACTCATTCAAACAAACAAAAATTTCATAATGAGAAGAACTTGTAGCTCAAGAATTTCAACAGTTGAGCCTAATAAAAATGGTGCTTTAAATTTTTGCTTCATTTATATTCTACAGCAACGAGCAAAGAAAGACAACTATAATCACCATTTTTATTGTCATTTTTATTATTATTGTTTATTATTATTATTATTATTATTATTACTCTTATTTATTATTATTATTATTATTATTTCAAATATATTTTAAAACCCAATTACCATTCATAAATAAAGTCCAAACTGTACACTTATTTATTTGAATTTTTATTACAAAACAAATTAACGCATACAAAATCCAAGCCCATTTGTTTACAAAGCCCACTGATCATTTTGGGAAGCCTACATCTCCACCCTTCATCTTCACCGTTGGATCTAACAATGATCCAACGGTTGGAGTTAAACCCTAATCATAAATGGTGTTCTTCAACCAGCGCCGTACGCCCTTCCCTTGGCCTTTTCAATAGCCACAATGGTAGGGATGGCAAAAAAACCTGAATCCGATAGGGAAAACCGAAAATCGAATTAAACGGGGATGGGGACGGAGACGAGTTTAGTAATCCCTGCCCCGATTACCCGATTACCCGGCCTGATAAATATTAAAAATAATTATTATATATATATAATATTAATAAATTTAATTTAAATTAAAATATATATATAATATTTATATATTTAATTTAAATATATATACCCGGCCCGATACCCGTTTAAATACCCGTTTATGCTAAACAGGGATACCAGTTTCCTCGCAGTTTTCCATGATTACCCGATAGGGATCCCCGTTTAAATCCCAATGGTTTTTTAAGAGGGGACGGGTACATGTTTTTTAAACGGGGACGGGGACGGGGGGACCAATACCCGGCCCGTTGCCATCCCTACACAGTGGCTACCAGTGATCCCAACAGTAAACACGTGAGCCTCCGGCAAGCACTATGGTGCCACAACAGCAACCAAACCAACCATTCTCGCCTCGTCAACAAGCCAAACAATAAAAAAAACACATCAGCTCATCATCCAAATCAACATGCAAGACAAAAATCAGAAAGAAGAAAATAAAAATGTAACCTTTTTCGATTTTATGTATGTAACGTTGTTTGGGTTATAAAAACCCAAACTTTGATTGTAACGGTGTTGGATTTTCCACTCCCCAAATTTCAAAAGCAATATAGAGGTATTTTTTTTACCTCATTTCTTTCTTTTTTCGAGAAAAGCTTTGGGGTGCATGGGGGGTTTTTTATTCGAAACAGAAAAAATAGTTAAAGAGTGAGTGTTTTAACCTTTTGTCGTTCGTGTTCTTCTTCGTCAGAGCCGGAGACGTCGTTGGGGTTAGGGAGCTACAATGTTGGGGAGTTTGGGTCTTGGTTCTTAGAAGTTTTGGCCCCAAATCGGGGCTTTAAGTCTATCATAAAGGGGTCTTTTGAGGCGTCGTTGGGCTTAGGCTAGAGTTCGACCACCAGTTGGAGGAACAAAGAGGTTACCGAAATATTTTTAGGCTAGGTTTAATTTTTTAGCCAAAAAAGGCTATATAGTCTTACATTTGGGTAAATCTCCATATAGTCCCTCTAAGTTTGCCCTTTTTTTGCATTTTAGTCATTAGTGAGACTCATTTTGTTGTTTTTCTGATTATACCATCCTGTTTTATTTTATTTTAATTTAATTTAATCACCATTTTGCTATGTTATTTCTCTAAAATTAGTTACTGAATTTTATATTATTTCATTTTAGTCACCAATTAGTTCTGTTTTATTTATTTATTTATTTATGAAATGATGCGATAATTTCAATTTATTCATTATTGTCATTGTTTGTTTATGATTGGCTACTGATATTTTTGTTACATTTTGGTCCCTAATATTAAATACTAATATTCTAACATTTAATACGACCTCGTGATGACCAGCCCTGGGTATGATTCGCCTTATTTATGGTCCGGGTAAAATTCTATTTTTTTAACCGCTAACATACTAATTTACTAACCCTTAACATCTAACTTTTAAAATATTCGAACATTTAATACGACATCGCGATGAGTCTCCTTGGAGTATGATTCGCATTATTTGTGGTCCGGGTAACAATTAAAAATATTGACCCCTATCTCTTAATTTTATTTGATTGATTTACTTTTCGATATTTAAATTTTTTCCATTTAAATTTATGTTATTTTAATTTCTGCTTTAAATTATCAATGTTTATGTTTTAGTCCTTTAATTTCCAACTTTATTTCCTTGCTGTTTGGACTTTATATTCTGTTTTTGTTTCAATTTAGTCACTAGGTTTGCTTATTGATTTTGATTATGCATTTTATAATTATTTTAATTTAGCCATTTTTTGTTTATTAATTGCCTTTAATTTTTGCTTGCCAGTTTTAATTTAGTTTAATTTAGTCCTTGATAGTCTATTTAGGTTTTTTTTAGATTAAACCCTTAGATTTAGAATTTTAACATTTTGGTCTTAATTTAGGTTGCCCTTCTTTTAAATTTGTTCTTTAAATTTAGATTCCTTTTGATTTAGTCCCTAGAGCTTTTAATTACTTGAATCAATAATTGAATAAAATTAATTAGGATTAAAATTAGAGCCTTCACTTTAGGCTTAATTTCAAACTTAGTCTTTAAATTTAGATGAAAATTTAATTTGGTCATCGCTTTTGCTCGAGGTTTCATTTTAATTATTCGAATCAGTAATGGATTAAAATTGAATAGGTTAATTAATAGAGCCTCCATTTTAGGTTTAATTTCATAATAATCCTTTAATGTAGGGGAATTTTTTATTTGGCCATCAATTTTGCTCGAGGTTCCATTTGAATTATTCGATTCACCAATTTATTAAAAATGATTTGGATTAATATTAGATCCTACGATTTTAGGTTTGATCCCATAGGTTCTTTAAATCTCATAATTGGACACTTTAAGTTAGAGAGAAGCTTTAATTAATTCATTTACCATAATTAGGTTCAATAACTGATTGTTTGATTGCATTTTGTTTTAAAAAATAAGACAATGTTCATTTATTAGGAGGTTAGTAGTGTATATCCCGCTTCTGCCCGGGGTGACCACTATTGATTCTCGAAGTAAATCAACATCATTTTCAAAACCTCACATCATGATTTCTAAATTATTAAGGCAATGTTCATTTATCGTGATTGATAACGAAGCTTCCACTTTTTCTTGGGGGTTGTCGTTATTAGTCTTGGTAAACCGACATTCTTTTAAAAATATGCATACATAGTGGATTTTAAATTAAATAAAATTTTGAACTTAAAATTTCCAGTTTTAAATATAGGTAATCGACTAGGTACTAATTTTGGGCGTTGTGAGGTGTTAGTCCTTCCCCACACGTAACTGACTCTTGAATCTGATTTCTGATTTCTGATTTCTTATACCAAAACATGATATTTTTTATAAAATAAAATATTATATTAAAATTACAAAATTTTATGTGTTCCAATCTCACCTTAAAAATGATTGGTGGAGACTTCAATCTTTTCATAATTTATATTTATTTTCCAAAACATCAGATCGGTCTTTCCACATAAAATTTGTTACGACATTACTGTACTCTTTTTGTTTCAGTTGGAAAGAGAAATACTCATCCTAATGTATTTTAGGGATTATTTTCTCTTCGATTGGAAATAATGAAATATTTTCTATTTCTCCTTAGAATATTTTGTTAATAAAATTGTGTGATTGAATCTGGTGTAAGAGGATCGTAATTTAAATTTATATTTGAATTCTTATACTTCTGTTATTAGAGACAATGTATAATCGATAAGGTATCAATTTTGGGCATTCTGGGGGTGCTCATCATTCCCACGCGTAATCGACTCTCGAACTCCTTTTTTAAAAGAATGAATTTCCAGTTACATGTAGACTAGTCTTATCTTTTAAAATGATGTTTTCTTAAACCTCTTTTAAAAGATGATTTTTAGGTATTCAACCTAACTACTCCAAAAAAAAATTGATGACGACTTCAAAACATATTTTTTAATAAATATCAAATTTTTAATAAAATATTCATGACTATTTCCAAGCTTAAGTACCATTCTGACAAAGTTGATGATAAGAAAATCCTTTGGTGACAAGATAGAATACCTTTAATAATATTCTCTCATTATTTTGAAAATGCCCTTGTAACATAAATATATATAGAAATGATTATAGGCAGAGCCACTTTATGGATTGTGGTATAAGGTGGTATAAGATAGAGGTGTGCATTATCAATTATCGGATATTATTTGATTCGAATTTTTGGATATCCAAAAATTTTGAATACCTAAAGTAATGATCTGTATTCGATTCGAAAAAATCGAATATCCGAAATTTTAAATTAGATATCCAAATATATGGATCCGATCCGCTGTTTTTTTGTTGCAAATAACTAGTATTATATTTTTTTATCATCAGTTCGAGAGTATCAAAGCAGAAAATTATACTGCTCAACAAAAAACCATCAACCATAAACAATTATAGAATCATTCATATATAGAAATATAACACAAAACTAGTTATTAATTAGTATATTTTAAGCATTAGACTTCTACATGCACAAGAGAAAACCAGACTCGAAGTTCAGATCCGGAATAGAAAAGAAAAAGAAAAGGAAAGTAAATCAGCAAAAAAAATTACTTAGGAATTGTGTATGTAGAGGTTCAAGAGTCGTAAAGAGGTTGTCTACGTTAATCCGAGAACTAGACCTCTGAAGCACAAAAAGTAGCCATGCAAATGCAGTTTTTAAACAAACATATAATAGAGCAAAAGCTAAATAAACTATGTAGTCTTTTTACCTGAGGACTGGGAGTGGCACTTCTTGGTAACCCATTTTTAGGACTTCCAATCAAGAATCCTGAAAATTCCTTGGTGAACTCGGTACCATGATTGCTGCGAAGGTCAGAAGGTGAATCACAAACTGAACCTCCTCGAGCAACCGCAGAGAACAAACCATCTTTAGGCGATACATCTACACCTCCATTTTCATATCTCCAAAGCTTCTGATTCACACTCCTTTGATCATATTCCATGTTGCAAGAAATTTGAGTCATTAAAATCGGCGACTCAAGAAAAGAATCATATTCCATAAAGGAATCAAGTGTCTGTGATTCAGGTGAAGCGGTTGCTGCAGATTCATCGCTAGTTGCGACTATGTTCCTCCTACGGTTGCGGTCCCTCCTACCGAAATTCGATCCAGTAACTGAACCACAACTGTTCTCAAATTTCGACCCTTCCTCTTGTGCTATTTTATTTGCAGTTTGAGAAGCCTCATAAGCAGCCCCTTTAACTAAGCCATCTGATCAGATAAGTCATCTAACTAAAAAATCTATAAGAACAGAAAGAAAAACCCCAGAAAACCTGAGAAAAATACAATAAACCTGAAATCACACTCGTTCCTCAGAAAATCCACAAACTAGTTGAACAAAAACTAAGAAGAAACCTAAATCTTAAAGTTATGATTTTCCACTAGTTTCCTACATTTTTCCTATGAACTTAAAACCAAATCAAACATTCTTGATCTGGAGTGATAAAACAATTAAATAAAGAAACGAAATATATGAAAAGAGTAGCTAAGTTTTTGCTCAATGACTACAAAAAAAAACTAAAATTACTATAAAAAATAACAAGAAAAGGAACCAACCTTTCAGTTTCTTCTCTCTTTCCTCGGTATTCTTCTTCACTTGGCAAGCAAAGCACTTCTCTCGGTAAAAAAAAAATTTGGGTTTTCGGATAATCCGAAAATGGTATATTGTCGATCCGTATCCGATCTGATAATCCGAAAAAATAAGATACTCGATCCAAACTATCCAAAATTAAAAAACGGATCGGATATCCAAATTTTTGAACCGGATCAACGGATCAATAGATCGGATCAATCGGATTTGCACACCTCTAGTATCAGGTGACATTTTATTCATAAATTTTATATAAAAATATTAAATAAATTATTTTTTATTTGAAATAATATTGACGCCTCATTTAAAAATAATTGATAATGTAATCGTCACTGTATATGTTTACCTATGAATAAATTAAGTGTGACTACACAAATAGTTATTAATGTTTGAGTATGTTCCTTTTTTTTCCACATATGTTTCAAAATAAAAGATTTATTCATTACTATTATTGATTTATAACAAATCAGTCACCTGTTCTTAACAACTAGAGGTAAACATTCGATCGAGTCGAGTCGAAAAATTTTGAGTTATTCAAATTGACGAGTTATATTTTGTAACTCGAACTTAACTTGAAATTTTTCCAAGTCGAGTGAAGAAATTTGAGTCGAGTTATTCGAGATTCTATACAAATTTTATTATAATTATCGATAGTATTATGGTAAGGATTGATTTCAAATTTTCAATTTTCTCTAACAATATAAGAGATATATATATATATATATATTCATATCTTTTCACATTATAATGTTACTTAATATGTCAAATACAATCTAAAATTATAAAATATATTTATAATATTATATTTTAAATAATATATTTTGCGGGTAAAGTATTGATGATAGTATAAAAGAGTTAAAGAATTTATAGGAAGAAAGAATTTGCAATCAATTGAATTCAAAAGATCCAATTGAGTAAAATGCAAAGTTAATAGACTAAATAAAAGAGAGTATATTTTTAGTAAAAAAATAGGAATTGAAGTTACATAGGTATTCTATAGTGGTATAGGAGCATTTTGTTCAAATTTGGTAAAAATAAAATAGTTTTAAAATCATGGATGAATTGAAGAATTAAGGAAATCATGAAAATTTGAGGGACTAAATTGAAAAATTAAAAAATATTATCAAAAAGAGGAATTGAAAGTACATAGGTACTCTACGACGATTTAGGAGCATATGGTTCAAATTTGGTAAAAAATGGGCTTAAAATGAAGGAGGAATTGAAGGAATAAGGAAATCATGGACTAAATCACAAAATTGTCAAAATAATCAGTCAAAATTTTCATTTTTCGAGTAACTCGAAATTTCAAAATTTTAATTCGACTCAAACTCAAAATCCAAATCAATAATTCGAGTTGACTCGAATGATTCGAACAAATCAAAATTGAAAAAAATCGATTTTTCGAGTTGAGTTTTTATCACCCCTATTAACAATAGTTGCTGGGGAGACATGGCATTTTGTTTTTATTTTTTTCAATGATAATGTGACATTATCTTATGATAACATCATCATTATTAATTTTGTAACGATGAATGACCAAAATGAAACTAAAACTAAATGTTAGGTATGATTTTAAAAAAGTAGTTAATTGACCAAAACATAACAAAAGTGATAATTGACATACTTAACATTTAGTTATCCTTTTATTTATTATGTTTTTATTTTAATAAAATAAGTATGACATAATAAAAAATAACTGTATAAACTATATTATTTGCTAACGTCAAGTCCCTAAAGAATTTTTGCTTAAAGTATATGACTAATATTTTGTTCTTTACAATTTTAAGTTTCTATGTCGTAAAGGTTGTTAAAAAATATTGATAGCTTGCATGTGCAACGTTTATAATTTTTTGAAACTTTTATTTTTTTAAAAAAATTAAGAATATTATTAATTAAAAAAGCTCAATTTATTTTTGATAAAAAGATATGCGAAGTCTCTATACTTTAAAAAAATTAATATGACCTCAAATTATTTTATCTTTTAATGTGACCCTCAAATTCTAAAAATATAATTAATATAATTTTTTGAACAATATTTTTTATTATTAACTAACGGCTCCGCTGATTAGTGCTGAGTGGATTTATATGAAGTGAAGTGGAAATTAATTAAACAAAAAAGAAATTATATTGGAAACCTAAACTGGATCATTAATCTTACCGTGCACGCTATTCATAGTATGTGGAAAACAAACAAAAACTGTTCTTTGAATAAAAAATCCAAGAATCTTCATCTTCTTCTTGGAAAATCTTTAACTCACACACAACAAATGCAAAAAATAAATCGTTCATTTTCTTCTTCGAAAATTGAATCGTTCTTTTTAATCTTTATAAACTAAATTGTTTCCTTCTTTCTAAACCGAATCGATTTGTAAAACCTTGTCATCCCAGAAAATGCTACCCTGAAACCCTAATCGTTTTGTTCTTCAGTCAAAAAAACCCAAAAACAAGACCCATTTTTAAATTGCACTTTGATTACAAAAACCTTTTTGTGCAAATTGAAAACATTATAGAGGACCATTGCAGCAAAAATGGGTAAGAATTCTTCTTTACTTTGAGTGTTTGTTTCGGAAAATTCTTTTTTTAGTTTGTATAGTCTTTTGGGGTTTGTTTCGAAAAATCATTTTTAGTATTTTGTTTAAGTTCGTCTTTTTTCCCCTCACTGGCATGGTTTTCAGAACCGGACCAGTTAATGAACCAATCATGCTATCGGTTCACTGGTCGACGTCATAATTATTTAAAAAATTAAATAAAAATATCAAAAATATTTAATAAAAAATAATTTTTTATATCACAAGTCATATTCAAAGCAAGTCATACCATATATAAGTTAAAAACCATAAAATCAAGTTAAACAAAATGATTCAAATTAACTACAACATAATATTTAAGGTAAAACATATTAAATAATAAATATAATTATATAACTATAATTAAAAAATAAATTTGGGGTTAAAAAAATCATAATAAAATGATAATGTTTGGTTTAATTTTTTTTTAAAAACAATCCCACATGGCTAAGAAACATAGAAGAGCATCCTAAAAGTCTAAAGAGTAAAAATATGAGAACAAAACAATCTCACATGGCTAATAAACATAGAATAACATCCCAACTAACTTCTTTAAATAATAGAGGTAATTCGGCATTCAAAATCATGGAACCTTTTGGTGAGCATTGAGCTATTCTTTCACTTCAATCAAACTCGAATTTTAGGCTTCAATCGAGCTTCTAATTTTTTTTGAGTTCAAGCCTTTTCGAGTTCAAGTGTCAATATTATATTTCGAGTTCGAGTTGAACTTGATAATTTTTAGCTCGTGAGTTTGAGTCGAGTTGAACTTACTTTTAAAGTTTTCAAGTTCGAGTTGAGCTAGCAATACTCGAGTTCGACTTGGCTCGTTTAACAAACGACGTCGTTTGGTTTAATTTAAAAAAAAATTGGCGGTTTTTCCCGGTTTTTTCCGATTTTCAATCGGTTTGATTCGAACAGTTAAGCGGTTCCAGCCGGTTCACTAGTAGCGGTTTAACCGGTGTAGATTGAACTGGACTAGGCAACGGTTACCGGTTGAACCAGTTGAACCGACCGACCCGATTTTCAAAACACTGCTCACCGGTGCACATTGTTGGAAGCAATATAACAGCAAAGAGGTAAGATATTTATTGTTTAGTCTTTGGGGATTTTATTTTCCACGGTCTCTTATTTTTATACGTTTTATTATACATATTTTTATTTTTTCCCTTTTTTTTTGGGAATAGTTACTTGATTTTACTATTTCTGTAATAGCATTGTTTACACCTATTTTTGTCCGGGGCTTATTTAGTATATATATTAATATAATAGAGTTTTTGAAAATATTTTGGAAAAAAATATAATATATAGTTTTGAAAAAGATTTTCGAAAATATATATATATATATATATAATATAATTTTGAAAACATTTTGAAAAAATATATATAATATATAGTTTTTTAAAAAATATTTTTGAAAATACACATTATATAATTTTAAAAACAATTTTGAATATATATATTATAGTTTTGAAAATAATTTTTGAAAATATATATTATATAGTTTGAAAAAACATTTTTGAAAACATTTTGAAAATGTTTTGGAATATATATATATAATATAATTTAGAAAACATTTTCGAAGATATATATATATAATATGATTTTGAAAACCTTTTTTTAAAAATATATGTAATATGTAATATGTAATATGTAATATGTAATTTTCATTTTCATTTATTTATTTATTTTTCCTTCTTTTTTCTTTTTAGGGTTCAAATATCTAATGAGTCCCGATTTGGAGGAAAGTGGGCCTGACCCAGCCCAGAACTAAACACAAAAAATTAGGGTTATACTTCATCATCGCGCCACATGGGGAGAACATGTCACACTGGTGAAAGCCACGTGCCAACAGAGTCCAGTCACCGGTCGGAATGTCCTGCCGAAGAACTTAGGACTGCACCATCCCAAGGTCCTCGGTCAACTCACAACAACCAAAGAACTCCACTCATTTCGGAGCTCAAAACGGCCAAAACCAGGGCTATAAAAGCCCAGTGAGGCCAAGCAACGGGGGGACAAAGCCGAAAACAACAACCAACGATTGGTAAACATCATCAAACCACAACACAACGATCCAACAACAAGGCAACATAAATTGACAGAACAAAATGAAGCAAACACATAGCAAAAAAAACCATTTCGAAACATCAAAATCGACAGAAGCAAAGAAAAATCATAAAAAATAGAGCATCGTTCAACCGAAGAGTCCTCGGAGAAGAAGGAGCCACCGGAAGCGAGGAGTCTCACCGGAAAGGTAAAAAAACCAAACGTATTTTTGTAGATCTAAGCCAATTTGGTGCTTTGTTGAATAATCAGGCTACGGAACGGTGTTCACGAGGTTGGGGGGAACCTTTTGGGCGAGTTTGGTTTTTCCGGCATGTCGAAACGATATTTTTCTTCAAAGTAAGATTTTAAAAGCCACACCATTTTTAATTTCTTCTTGTGATTAATTTTTAATACAAAAATAATGCGATTTAAAAAATCTCTCGTTTCAAAAAATATGAGATTATCATTATGATATAAAAACATACGGTTCAAGTAGTCGCCACCAATATTTGATTAGGGTGTGATTGGGCACCAAAAACGTTTTTTCATTTCAAATAAAAATTAATTTTAATTAAAACAACAAATTGAGATCTGCGTTACCAGAAAATGAGTTCAGGAGTCAGT